AACACCGCATTCGAACGGAGATGGATGTAGCAAACAAAATGGTCAGGTTATGTAGTTCGTGTCGTCAACCAGGACACAATCGTACAAAATGCCCCAATGTAGGACCAAGCACATGATCATAGTTTCTAATGTGACCGTGTCACTTTAAATCAATAGCAAATTTCATTCCATTGAAAGCATAGTTAAGCGATTATAATTAACAAACAACATAAATTAAACAAACATAACTTAATATCACAACAATATTCCGAAAATAACAACAACATAACCTAATATCAAAATAACAATCCAAAAATAACAACAACAAACCCACACAAAACAACACAATGCATCAACTTGTCTAGGATATCACAACCATCAACGTAATCTTCTTTGGTGTTAACATCATCACAAGGACACCAACATCATTTTTCACTTTTCTCCAATCACGAGTAACTTTGTTTCTCCCTGACTCCTTAACCAACCTCTCAATTTTCCTAATCTTTTCACCTGCAACAATATCTTCTTCTAGCCAGTGGTTCAGTTTCCTATGCAAATGTTTCAAAGTCTATGTATTCCACAGTAGCACCTTCACCAGAGGCTTTGTTGCTGAAAAATAAACTAGGGCATTTCTTTTCATTAGAGAAAATGTTGGAAATGGTTCTTCCGATGATGATGACGATGATGATGAATGTTGATTTAGAAATGCAGACATTCTAGACTGATTTTCAAATTATGAAGAAGCTAAGTCTATTGGTGAAAATTGTTGTGAAAAATTATATGTGTGTGCAGTCTTATTTATAGAAAAAAAATAGTACGGACTATATATGATATGCCATAAATACCCTTACAAAATTGATTACTTTTTAGAATTATATATATTTTTTAAATATTAAAAAATAATTTTTATATGTTTTTTTTAAACAAAAATCAAATATTAAAAAAAAACCTACACCTGATGCGTCATCCCATATGGCGACTCAGTGTAGGGTTTAGGGCACCCAAAATGAACCCATGCGCCATATAAAATGGCGAATAAAGTCTGAGAGACTTGAATAACCATTTCATATGGCAAAAAATTAGTCACTTTCGTCATTTTTTTTTAAATAATCATTTATTTGATAATTATTTTGAAAAAACATGTTATATTAAAAAAAAAAATCACAAAATAAAACTCATACTTTTTATTTTTTTATTGAAACCACTTACTTTTTCTTAACAATATATTATATATAAAAGTTATTATATAATTAGAAAATAATTTTGAATAAGTTAAGTTATTAATTTTTTTAATTCATATTTTGACTAAGATAAAATAATTTTAAATTAAGAAAAACCATGTTTTTTAATTTTTTATTGACACCTCTTACTCTTTCCTAACAATATCTTTTATAGAAAAATTATTAATTTATTAAAAAGATTTTTAAATATATGAAAGTTTATACGTTTAGAGGTAAAATTAGGACTAATTTAGTAAATTATAATATGCATTTTATTTTTTATTTATTTAGTAAAATTTAACCTTTCTATAATTAACTAATTAAAAAATCTAACTTTTCTCACTAACTATTTAAGCCTCACATTTTTCCATTTCTTTTTATTTATTTCTTTTATTTTAAAATTATATAGAAGCTTCTAACAAAAGAAATTTTACATTTTTTTCTGTCTCTCGTTAGTTTTTCATAATAATATATTTTTATTCTTTTTTTATCATCTTATTTTGATTATGAAAAAGTAATATAAAAACTTTTAACAAAATAAAAACCCACTCTTCTTCTTTTTCTAAATTTTTTTATTAATTTTTTTTAACAATATCTTGTATATTAAAGTTGTTAAGGAATCTTAGTTACCCACTTTCTAAAAATGATCAACCAAAGAAGTTTTAGCGACAACCTTTAAAAATGTTGTTGAAAAATCTTCCTCTAGGACGATCATTGAAGATTTTAATAAGAGAATAACGGAGAAAGGTAACGTCGTAGATGGGTCAACTTTAAAGAAGTCAAGAGAGGAAGTGCATATTTAAGAGACGATGGACCTTGGAGGAAGTTTTCACACTTCTCTTACTTACACCCTTGAGCTATTCTTTATCGCTTTGGGTATAGGACTACAAATATCTTCAGGACGCTCTTTAGAAAAATGATTATGCCTTCTTTTCTAGGATGACTCAGACGTCTTGTTGAGAGACAGTGGAGGAGCTGCATTACCAAACTCACATGGTTGCTACTCTACTCGTCTTTGGTATTATGGATAGAGAAATACTTTAGCCCTAAGTAATCTTCAAAAGGAGAAGGATATTTTGCTGAAGCACCTACACTCTAGGATTCTTAAGAAGAACAAACTTACTAAGGTGTTTGGTAATGCAAAAAAGCTTCTGAAAAATATTGGAGAAAAGGTGAAGTTTTTGGATCTCCCTCTGATTTTGATAAAAGGAACAAAGAGCTTGAGAAGTTGGTTGGTGAGAAGGAGATGACCTTAGGTATCATCCAAAAAGCTTTATCTAAAATGGAAAATTCTCTAGCCAATGCCAACAATGTTCTTAATTCTTCCAACAAAATTATGGAGGAGATTGAGAATGTTTTGAGTGAGCCAAGGGAGACCTTGCTAAAATCTTAAGGAGATTTTGATAAGACTCGCTAAAAGCTGATTATGGTGAAAGTAAAAAATTATCTCCACATAAATATTATGTGAAAGTTGTCGAGACTAACTATGGGGTCATGCAAACTCCCTGCATAATTAAAGTAAGGAAACAACTTAGCTAAAATAACGCTTCAGTTTGGCTACATTCCATGTTCTTTGGATATATTCTTTGTGAGGATATTCTTTAGTGTAAGCTCATTTTATCCTGTTGTTTTAGACTCGATATGGTCCTTCCATGTTTGGTGGAATCTTACCTTCACCATTTTTCCTTCCTTCTACATCAACCTTATGAAGTAAGATGTCGCCAAGGTGGAATTCCACGAGTTTTAGCTTCTTATTTTACTTTGCAACTGAGGCATGTTTGACAGTGGCGTCACTAAGGGCAACAAATCATCTATTTTCATCTGGGAACTCTAAATATTCCCTGGTCGTTTGTGAGTTTTCTTCTCAATAGAGGGAACATGTTATCCTCCAACTAAGTTCTCTAACTTCTAAGGGGATGATAACCTCAGTGTCGTAGAAAAGTATGAAAGATTTTTCCTCGATGTTGGAATGAGCTATTGTTCTGTATACCCAAAGGACACATGCGAGTTCTTTTTACCCAATTGACCTTGGATACTTCAAGTATCATTTACAATGCTCTCAGTAAAACCATGTTGAAAGCTTTTGTCTGGCTATTGGTTTGAGGATGCTCCATTGAAGTGAAGTGGTGGTTGACTCCAAGATCTTGAAATAGATTCTTCAAGTTTTATCTAGTAAACTGGGCAATATTTTACGTGATGAATGACCATGACATCCCATATATTTCTAGAGCATTTTTCTTGAAGAATTTTTAAATGTTGGTGGTTGTGATTTTTTCTAGGGCTTATGCTTCGATCTCTTTGGTAAAATAATCTATAAACATAGTAAAAAATTTTAACTTCCTTCGAATTAGTGGGAAAGGGTCTAGGATATCCATATCCCACTAGGATAATGACCATGGTGCAACTAATATGTTGAGTTTAAAAGGAGGGGGTGATGTGAGTCTCTACGTGCTTCTAAATGTTTCAAAATTCATCGTTATTTCTTAGCGTCTTAGACCAATGAAGACTAATAGTATTCTACTTTGAGGACTTTCTTGGCTAAGGCCTTTCCTTTAAGGTGCTTCCTGGATATACCCTCGTGGACTTTTGATAGGGTGTATTCGTTTTCATCATGCTCTAAACATTTCAATATGGGGTAGAAATACCTATTTTGTATAACTTTCCCCTATGATAAAGTACATACACGTTCTTCTTTTCACTAAGCTGGATTTGGCGGGATCTATTGACAAAGTTTTGTTCTTAATGTGTGCCATGATTAAGGTTATCAATGTCAGCTCATCCCATGTTATCACGATGGCTACGAAGATCGTTGTGGTGAGCTGGATTTGGCCGTCAACAACTTCCCTGATCAAGGTGAAACAGTTACTACTTCTCAAGAGTCCCTAAATCAAAGCCCATATGCCTCCATAAGTACCTCAACCTTAGGGTTGAAGGGGATATTCTAAATACTCACTAAAAACACCCTAAAAAGTTACAAAGCTTTTCACCTCGCATGAGTTTGTTCTCTACTCACCACCATAAAATTGCCTTTAAATCTCAAAAATCTTTAAAGCCTCGGACCACCCTTACCAGCATAGCCATATCACACATATGTAACTTTTTTTTAGCAAACACACAAATAATTTTATTTTAGAAAATAAAACCAAATTCGAATGAAAAAAGTTTAATAAAATTAATTATTTTTCTACAATAATATTTTTATTTACTTGTAGAGAAAATATAGAAAATATGATAATAAATTTCTTATAATATTATAAAAAAAATTATTATTAAAAACAACAATTTATTATTTATATTTAGACGTGTCAATAAAAAAGTTTAAAAGAAAACTCCATCTATTTCATTTTAAATGTCAAATTTAAGTTTTGACTTTTGTAATTTCTTAGTTTAATGATTAAATTGTATTAGATTTAAATGATAGAAAATATCAAAATTATAAACTCAATGGAGTAATTAATAACATACTCAAATTGTCTCTTCAATTCTCCTTGTGGTAAAAAAAAAGAAAATGGGAAACCACATATAACAAAAATAAAATAAAAAAGACATTAATGTTTGTTTTTAGTCTTTTTGTGGTGTACACTCTTTTTGGATTTGAAGCTTCTGTTTTCTCTCACAAACTCACTCATCCTTTCCACCACTAGAACAACCTAAGGTTTTTTTTTTTTCTTCTCCTATTTTTTTTTTTTTTTTGATTCTTCCTTTTCATTTTTTTTAATATGATTCTTAAAATTGGGATTCCATAAACTGAAATTTGATTTTTATTATAATAATATTTTTACAGAATATTGAAAGTGTAGAATGGCTTCCATGATTGCAACCTTGCCACCACCATTGCTACTTCATCATAGTAGAAAATTATTTTCAGGGAATTTCCAGAATTTCCATGTTTCTGTTCTTTCAGGTAACCCTTTACCGTGTTTGTTCTTTTTCTTTGCTTTTTTTTTTATGGGTATTTCAAATTCAATTTTTTTAATCCCTTAGACAAGTATATGAAATGAAACTTGTTTGATTCTGTATTTGTTATGTAAAATCTTCAATACTAATATATATCTGCCAAGAACTGAAAGTTTGACATTATTGTAATACAGACACTTCAGATTGAAAGCGTGTCTGGTGTCTCGTTTCAAATACCAAGACAAGTTGTTACATTCGATTACCCGTAATTATTACCTGTATCGCGTGTGATTACATTCGTGATTACATTCAATTACTTTGGTTACCCCAAATTATTACATATCTGTGTCTGTGTTTGTGTTAAGATTAGTAGTGTTCTTTTATAAGTTTGTTTCTACGTGGTTATGTGGATCTCGGCCATTCGATAAAGATTGGATGGCTCATATCTAGAGTTGTATTTTAAAGTTGATCTGGTGAAGTTAAAATATGAGTTGTTTGATTTTTGTTCAATGACCAAGATTTCATGGCTATGTGGTTTTCATAACTGCCTGTGCCAGGTGAGTATTGTTGCAAATTGAAAAGTGAAAATTTTGATTATGATAGAAACTTTCGGAGAGGAAACAAATATTTGCAACAAAATTGGTTTAATCAAATGATTAACTGGGTGAGTAATCAAATGATAAGAGTTATTTACAGTTAAGCGTGTTTGGACGAGAATAATACCAGAATGAGTTATCTTCTGGAAACTCCTCGATTGATAAATAAAGACTAACTCCGTAAAATGCTCATTTTTGAAATTCGGTAGCTTACTATGCTATGGAGCATTTATGAGAATGTTCAATGTCCTTAAAACAACATTGATTTGAATTCGATTACTGTTATTTTCTTATGGTGTGTACTTAACTGCAAGTGCTGATATTTCGAACTCACAGGAAGACGGAATAGCGTTGCATTTGTTGTGAAGGCATCTGGAGAAAGTTCCGAATCTTCAACTTCACTTACTGTTCTCAAATCTGTTCAGAATGTGGTGAGTTTCGCCTTCCACTCCCAACCTTCTCGTCTCTTGAGAAAAACATCAAATATGACAAATATTTATATTTGTTTTTTGTTTGTTGATGTTCAAATAGTGGGATAAACCTGAGGACCGGTTGGGACTAATCGGTTTGGGCTTTTCAGCTGTAGTAGCATTTTGGGCATCGACAAATTTGATAGCGGTAATCTTTACCAATCTTGCACTATTCTGGTACCGAATTCGTCAGGCTGTATGGGATGTCTGTCTTTCTGATTTTGATATTTTTGTGATTTTTGTCTATAGGCCATTGACAAATTGCCAGTTCTCCCGATTTCGTTGGAACTAATTGGAATACTTTTCTCAACGGTCAGTACTGTGAAGAATAGAACCGCCATATTATATAATAGAAAATGCATCATTTTGTGTATTTGTGCTGTTCCAAAAATTCGAGAAACTATAATAAATTGCGCGCATTCATCACATAGTTCATTGAGTTATAGAATATGTTTTGCAAGAGGGAGTTGATAACTTGTTTTTCTGTTTCAGTGGTTCACTTATCGCTATCTCTTATTCAAGCCTGACCGGTAAGTATTTACTATATTCAATGAACTTTGATTTTGATTTTAAGTTTTTGAATGGTACTTTTTAAAGAGTTTGTTAGCTTATATGTGAAGTTACTATGCAAGAAGCAGCTTCAATTGAGTTTTTTTTTTCTTGACTTCAGGGAAGAACTTTTCCAAATCTTGAACAAGTCAGCTTCAGATATCTTGGGCCAGTAAGATGTGCTGCTGAAATGTTGCTCCAGATTATGATTTTAAGCGCGGATTATCATTAATCAGCGGCGAAAAGTTCACTCCTATGTCAAATTACAGTTCAAACTGTGTTAACTTTGTGTACAAAAATTGAAAAGGCTTTAAACATAAACACTTAAATCGATGGCTAAATTGATCACTACATAGTGAATTTGTTTTGTTTACTAAATCAGTCCCTAAATAACAAAATTTCCACTTGTCTTACACAAAACCTTGGCTTAATCGAGTTAAGTTTATGAAATCAGATTGTGATTAATAATGAGATAACCTCTTATGTCTCCCTTTGGTAATTAGAATATTAGAAAAACACAATTTTCAAAGAAAGGACGAGAGATTTTCCAAACCTTGGACTTGGTTTTATTTCAACAAGTGTCTGAGTTACTTGTTGTCTTAACATGTTTGTGTTAATATTTTTGTGTGCCTGAGCCACTAGAATATCAAGTTTTCTTGTCGAGGATGGTTAATTCAGTATGCTTTAACGATATATTCGGACGAGTATATTATTTTTAGAATATGCTCAGCGGATATATCATATTTTTTTAGACAATTTGTTTTAAATTTGATTTAAGTGGTTAGTGTGTCTATAATATTTTCTCTCTATTGTAATTGAAATAAAAAGAAAAAAAAATTTATAATTTTTTTTACTTAATCACTATTTTTTTTTTTCAATTTATCATCATTTGTCAACTAACTTGTGATACAAATTACTAAACAAATTGGTATCAACAACAGCACCAGTTCGGTTTTAACCTCCAATCAATTCCTAGCCAATCTAATAGTTTTCAAGGGAGAAAACTATGATAGATGGTGTGCACAAATGAAAGTCATATTTAGGTTATAAGATGTGCTTGAAATCATGAATAATAATTTATTGACATTAAAAGCAAATGTTATTGGGGTACAAAGAGCTGTTCATCGTGAATTGAACAAGAATTATGGGAAAGGCTTTTTCTTGATTCGCCAGTGTGTGAATTCAAACATCTTTGAGAAGATTATTAAGCAAAAAATGACTAAGGAGGCCTGGGATACTCTTAAAAAGTTATATGATGGAGATGAAAAGTTAAAGAAAGTGAAACTGCAATCTTTGAGGAAGCAATATGAAAATTTGCAGTTGAAAGATGATGAAATCATTGCTGAGTTCTTCTCAAAGATGATGACTTTGACAAATCAGATGAAGTCGCGTGGAGAAAAGACCTCTGAATTGTAGAAGATGGAGAAGGTGTTGAGGGCTCTTCCAGTCAAGTTTGATCACATTGTGGTGGTAATTGAAGAATTAAAAGACTTGTCAGAGACGAAGCTGAAGCAAAGGATTCAAAAAAGGTATTTGAACAGGCATTGCAAGCAAATTTCTTCAAGAAGGTGAAAGAAAATTCCTCAAGCAATAACAAAGTAAAAGCAAAATGGAAGAAGAAGTTGAATGACAATGGTGATGTTGGTAAGGCTGCAAAATACCAAGGTGAAACTAGCAAGAATCATGTTAATCAGAACCAGAAGACCAAGAAGAAGGTTGACGTGAAGGATGTTCAATGTTATTGTTGTAAGAAGCTTAGTCATGATGCTAGAGATTGTTACTACAACAAGAACAATGATGAGGAAAAGGGTGTGGCTCAATTTTCTCATGATGGTAACAGTGAATCTGAAGATGTTATCTGGATGGCTGCAACACATTTGACCTCAGAGAAAGAAAATGTGTGGTACCTTGATATAGGTTGCAACAATCATATGACAAGAAACATAAACTAGTTTGTCAAGTTGGATGAATCAGTTAGAAGATCAATTTGTTTTGCAGACAACAACATGGTGACATCAGAAGGAATGAGCAACATCATGGTGAAAATGGACATGAAGATATCATCAGTAATGTCTTTTATGTTTCTTCAATGGCAAGTAATTTGACCAACCAGGGTTAGTTACTTGACAAGAATTACACAATAAAGCTGTAAGGAAAAAACTAAAGGTGTTTGATGAAATGTCTAGGTCAATTTTGTGGGCACCTTTGTCAACCAACAGAGCATTCAAGATCATGATCAATATGCTTGGTCATCAATGTCTTGCATCAATTGCATGTGAAGATAAAATTGGTTTTGGCATCAAAGATTTGACCAACTCAATTTCAGGAGTCTTAGCATGATGCATATGAAGAAGATTGTGTATGGACTTCAAAATATTGAAGTGCCAAAGCAGTTGTGTAAGGAATTTTGTAGAGCCAAGCAGACAAGAAAGTCTTTCAAACATGACTTGCCAATGAAGTCACAATAGAAATTGAAATTGTGCACTCAGGTGTATGCGGGCCCTTTGAGGTAAAACCATTATGAGGGAACTATTATTTTCTGACCTTTATAGATGAATTCACTAAACATGTGTGAATTTACTTTTTGAAAAAGAAAAGTGAAGTTTTCAGTAGTTTCAAAATATTCAAGTTGATGGTTGACAAACAAGCTAGACACACCATCAAGAGAATGATAATTGATGGTGGTGGTGAGTACATCTCAACTGAGTTTGCTAAGTTTTATGACAAGGAAGTGATTGAGCATGAAGTGATATCACCCTACACACCACAACACAATGGCATTGCAGAAAGGAAATATATAAGCATCTTGAATATGGCTAGGAATATGCTTAAATAAAAGCATATGCCTAAGCACTTTTGGGGAAAAGCAACTTCAACTACAGTGTACATCAACAACAGATATCCAACAAAGAAGTTGAACAAAATAAATCCTTATGAAGCTTGGACAAGATTGAAGCTAAGTTTTGGTCATCTGAAAATCTTTGGCTCACTATGTTATAGACATGTTCTTGAACAATTTAGAAGAAAGTTGGATGATAAAAGCCAAACTATATTCGTAGTTGGATTTCATTCAACATGTACTTACAACTTGTTCTCACCTAGTGAAAACAAGGTAGTGATCAACAAAGATGTGGAAAATGATGAAAGCAAAGGATGCAATTAGTTACTTGTTTCACAAGATTAAGTGCAAGAAGGTGAAACCTCAAGTCACATTAGAGTTACACTGCATGATGAGGAACAACCTGAACCAGTTGTGCCTGCACATGTTGAAGGAGTAAGAAAGTCAAGTAGAACCAGAACTCTATTAGTCAGGCTGAATTCCCTAATTAACTGATTAGAGAAAATAGTGAACTAACAATCATGTGCAAGCTCTATAGAATGAAAATTGGAAAGCTACAACTGTTGAGGAACTCAAGTCCATTGGAAAAAACCAGACATGAAAGCTGGTTGGGAACTCGAGCATGAAAGCAATTGATGTAAGATTGATTTACAAGCTGAAGTTGAAACCAAATGGTAAGATTTCCAAATACAAAGCAAGATTGGTTTCAAAAGGCTTTCTCCAAAGACCAGGAGTAGATTTCAATGAAGTATGTGCACCTGTGGCTAGGCTTGATACTATAGGGTTGGTTGTGGTCATAATAACATATAAAGGTTGGGAGATGCACCAACTTGATGTGAAGTCTGCATTCTTGAATGAACCTTTAGAATAAGAAGTCTATGTGAAGCATCCACCAGGTTTTGAGGTGAGAGGTCAAGAAGACTTGGGATAGATATTGAAAAAGCTTTGTATGGATTGAAGCAGACACATAGAGCTTAGAATAACATGATTGATAGCTTCCTAATCAAGCTAGGTTTTAACAAATGCACATCAGAATATGATGTTTATGTCAAAGGCTTAAATGAAGAAGATCGGGTCATTCTATGTCTTTATGTAGATGCCTTATTGGTTATAGGTTCAAATGAAGAAGAATTGACAAAGTTCAAAGAAAGCATGGAGAGTGAGTTTGAAATGTTTGGTCTGGGAAAATTGACATATTTTCTAGGAATGGAAATCATGGAAACCAAACATGACACTTTCTTGCATCAGAAGAAATATGCATATGACATCTTAAAGAGATTTAAGATTAGTAGTTGCAACCTTACTTTCACACCAATGAAGACCAAAATCAAGCCGAAGAAGGAATCTGAGGAAAAGATGGTTGATATCACATTATGTAAGTAGACAGTTGGATCTTTGAGGTATCTCTGCAACACAAGACCTAAAATTGTCATAGTGTTGAATTGATGAGTAAATTTATGGAGAAACCATAACTATGTCATCTACTTGTAGCAAAAAGAATTCAAAGATTCATCAAAGGCACATCAAAACATGAAGTGTTAATGTCTCATCAAACAACCAAAATTGAAGCAAGGATATGTGGTTACTCATACTCGGATTTGAGTGGTGATCAAAATGACAGGAAAACCACAATTGGCTACCTGTTCATGCTTAGATCAACACCAGTTTCTTGAAGTTCAAAGAAGTAAGGCATTGTTGATTTGTCCTCATGTGAAGCAGAGTATGTTACAACCTCTTATGCAGCATGTCAAACACTTTGGTTAGACATGTTGCTTGAAGAATTTAACATTGGTGACTATGGAAAAATTAAGATGCTTGTAAGAAGTTAATTAAATAGCAAATCGTCCAATGAGTCATGGTAGATGTAATCATATAAAAAGGAGATATCACTTTCTTAGAGATCAAGTTAGCAAAGCAAGGTAAATTATTGATCATTGCAAGACATAGTTGTAATTAACAGGTATCTTGACAAAATCCCTTAAGTAAGCAAGGTTTGAAGAAGTTAATGGGAATGAGAAACATGTCAAATATGAATTAGGAAATTTGCTTTAAAGATATACCTGAGCGGATATATCAATTTTAGTTACATAGATTGTGTAAGAATATGTTTGGACGATATTTTGTTTTAAAAATATACTCAGGTGGGTATATCAAATTTTTTTTAGACAATTTATTCTAAATTTGATTTAAATGAATATTATATCTATAAATATCACCTCTCATTATAATTAAAATAAAAAAGAACAATTAATAAATTCTTTTCCTTCAATCATTCTCTAATTTTCTTTCCATCGTTTGTCAAATAATTTCTGATACAAGTTATCTAACAAGGACGCGTTTGTGATTACATTTTGTGAAGGAAAGTTGCGGTAAAAAAACCTGCTAATATGAAAGTTTTAGTTTATGTTTGGAATAGTTTCAGTTGCTAATTTTAAGTCCCAATGCACTTTTTAATATGGTTTCAAAAAGTTTAAAGTCTTATCTCTTGTTTGTTTACGAGTTAGGATAGAAGAGAAAAGAAGAATCTTCGGAGAAAGAAAAATTAAAAAAAAAAAAAAAAAACTAGTAAGAGATATGTACATTCATAGACCGTGCAATGTTATTATATATAATAAATAAATATAATATAATGATGATTAAAAAAATGCATATAAAAAATATATTTCAAATTATGATTGTGATATAAATATTAATTTAATTTAAAAAATAGTAATGTTTCATTTGAATTAGGATGTGAGATAAAAATATATCAAATAGATCTATAAGACTAAATATTTAAGCTAAAATAATAATTTCCAAAATAATTTATTTATAAGAGACTAAAATTTTATTTCAAATAAAATAGATATACTAAACATTTAAGCTAAAATAATAATAACAATAATAATTGTGTGTCCAAAATAATTTATTTATAATTAAATTAGTTTTTATGCACCAACAAATTTTATGTATGCATACATATAATAAAATTTTAATTTGTATGGAGTCTAATTAACATGACTCAATAATTACACACTAATGATGTATGATCTACTATTTATGAGTATTTATGAAGATAGTTATAATGTTTTTCTTTTTGCAGTAGTCTAGCCTATTCAGTGAGACACAAGCTCCATTAATGATAATAATCATTTTAAACTTATTTTAGTAAGTATTAAATAATCACTTTACTTAAACTTTAATTAAGTTGTTGCTTAACCGAAATCTATGGTAATTTTGTCTATTATTGACCAAGATCGCGTTCCATTAACTGACACGTGCCTTCTTCTTCTTCAACTGCCATCATGAAATCACTTCACTCATTCACTCATTTGCATCAATCAGTCACTTTCTTCATCTTCTGCATTTCCAAATCTTCATCTTCAAAATAATTTATTTATAAGAGACTAAAATTTTATTTCAAATAAAATAGATATACTAAACATTTAAGCTAAAATAATAATAACAATAATAATTGTGTGTCCAAAATAATTTATTTATAATTAAATTAGTTTTTATGCACCAACAAATTTTATGTATGCATACATATAATAAAATTTTAATTTGTATGGAGTCTAATTAACATGACTCAATAATTACACACTAATGATGTATGATCTACTATTTATGAGTATTTATGAAGATAGTTATAATGTTTTTCTTTTTGCAGTAGTCTAGCCTATTCAGTGAGACACAAGCTCCATTAATGATAATAATCATTTTAAACTTATTTTAGTAAGTATTAAATAATCACTTTACTTAAACTTTAATTAAGTTGTTGCTTAACCGAAATCTATGGTAATTTTGTCTATTATTGACCAAGATCGCGTTCCATTAACTGACACGTGCCTTCTTCTTCTTCAACTGCCATCATGAAATCACTTCACTCATTCACTCATTTGCATCAATCAGTCACTTTCTTCATCTTCTGCATTTCCAAATCTTCATCTTCTTTCAACAATAATCAACAACTAGGTACTCGTTTTTTCAATCTCTTTCAAATTTTTCGGTTTGTTTTTCTATAATATTGTAAGATTTCATTTCTCTTTACAGTTTTTTTATAGATTTTTCTAGTTTTTCTTCGATTCAGTTTTTAAATCGTTGATTAATCAAGTAATGTTGATGTTTATGTGACCTAATTTTATGGAAATTAACTACAATGTGCATGGAAAAATACGATATCGTAGAACTGAGTATGTTAGATCTGAGAAAAAATTTTGTGACTTTGTTGTTGGTTTTATGGTGTAGGAGATTGTTGAGTGATACTCTGTTGTGAGATTTGGAGAAGGATTTTATCCTTACGCAATGCGAGGGAGGCAGCGAGTAGCATCAAGGGAAACCATAACAGGGCATGATAGTAAAGATGAAAATTCAGGTATCTTTCTGATTTTGGAAATATTTTCGTCTAGTGTTTTTTGTTTTTTAAATTTGTTTCTTTTTTATTGTTTAAAGCAAGTAGTTGCTTTTTTTTATTATAAAATTGTGGTTTATTGATTTTATATTTGAGTGATTGGGTGAGTTATCAATGAATTCCAATGTGCTATAGGAGTTGATAGTAAGGTGCTATAAAACACCAACACCTATGGGATTAGGCATACTTCCGGCGTCTGACATGCGTCGGGCGTCCTGTATGACCCTCGTACAACACGTGTTCGACATTCTTTGGACACATCTAGGAGGGTTAAATGTGTGTCGAAAACAATGACGATTAATAAGGGGATTAACGACATTACATTTGGTTACATTATTTTTATCTTTTCGGTAGTAGATGAATTAATAAAAGGAAAATGACTATCATATCTTTTTTTTGTAATTTTTTTTTTTTTTGTAATGAAACAAATTGCTCAAATATCTGTGTCGGAGTTTGTGCTTTATTCGTAGCGTGTTTCAGGGATCAGGAAATGTCTACTTTGACAAGTATTATACTGCATATCAATTTAGTTATTCAGCTAAAGTATTTGATATGCATAATCATATATATATGCCTATCTTCTTCATGAACTTCTTGGTGAGAGTCAATTTTTGGGTTTGGGGAATACATTGTGATAGTATTGGTTAGGAAGAGTTAGACTCAAACTTGTGACCTAGTAATCACACAGCATCAGCACCAATTTTTACAACAAGACTCCATTTGATTTCTTTAGTATGTGGTAAAAGTTGAACACACATTTGGAAAAACCATTTCATTTATGAGCTTGTGAGTTGTGATATTTGGCTTGAGATTGGAAGGAAATCTGTGCATGCATGCTGCATACACTAGTATACCTTAGAAGACATGCACAATCATGCCTTGTATATTTCAGAAAGTTCACAAGTCAACCAACAATGAGCTTTTGTCACATCTACTCTGTAACTTGAAATTTTCATGATTGGGGTGGGAATAATGAAGTTTTTTTCTATTTAAAATTCATTTGGAGAGTTGGTTTGTAGTGATAACAGAATAATTTCCTTCTTCACAGCTTCAGTACGTGTACCGAGTGCCAAACCTTGTTGGCGGCGCTCTTTGAGGCATGTAATAGTGGCTTCTCTTTCCTCATTCTTATATGGATACCATGTTGGGTATGATATGCTTCATTCAATCTTCACATACCTTCATCTTCTTGTTCTTGAATGAAAATATCTAGTTTTCTTATCACTATTGCAATGCAGGGTAGTCAATGAAACCTTAGAAAGCATTTCTATAGATCTCGGTTTTAGTGGAAATACATTGGCGGAAGGTACTAAATCTTAATTTTCTGACTAACAGTAATCTCTTAATCATGTTTTACATATAAATATTTATCTACACTCTTTTTTGTGTATGTTATGAAGGTCTTGTAGTAAGTATATGTTTAGGAGGTGCTTTTATTGGATCTCTATTCAGTGGATGGATCGCAGATGGGGTTGGGCGTAGAAGAAGTTTCCAGTTGTGTGCTTTGCCTATGATCATTGGGGCTATCATGAGGTATGAGCTACATATAATATAAAATAATTTCTCTGTTTCAATATTTCTATCACCTTGCATTTGTATGCAATAAAATTTGTTTTTCTTTTGCAAAGGAAGTACTAAGCTATAATGTTTATTTATAAGATATCATTTAAGTACCATATCTTCCTTTTTCATAGTAGGTTAATTTTCTTCGGACTAATTTAATTAGAAAAGAAAGAAAAGAATCACAAAATAAAAGAATGCATAAAGCTATAAACTTATATATTCAAAGTTTTTTTTTTGCAGTGCAACAGCAAAGTCCCTGTGGGGCATGCTTTTAGGAAGATTATTTGTCGGTACTGGAATGGGACTTGGCCCACCTGTTGCAGCTCTTTATGTGGCTGAGGTATAGTAAATCATCTCATCCATATTCTTCGATCTGTCTATGAAACACTGACACATACATGAACACAAGACCCGACACTATTACTGATAATCATTTGAAAATGGCAGAAATAGAATGTTACTACATATGTAGGTGTTACACCTTCATGTATTGGACACGCCTTTAATATGAAGTGTTGGTGCTATATAGTTTTCCATATTAGGCGGCCGCTTTGTTTTTTAATAGAAGTATATTCGGTTAATACTTGAAAGCTCCACTTGCATTCATAGGTCTCGCCTCCAGCTGTGCGTGGTACTTTTGGGGGCTTAACACAAATTGCAACATGTCTTGGACTCATGGCGGCTCTCTTTATAGGAATCCCAGCCAAAGAAATAGTTGGTTGGTATGGAATGTCAAACTGGCTTGTTGAAATTCATGATCATATCTTTACTTTATTTGCAGCATTATCTATCAGTTCCATTTTTCCTAGTTAATCTCTCCAATTCGTTTTAGCTGTTTTTTTTTTGTTTCTATCTTTTGGCCATTTTTGAAGTTCAATTCAACATCACCTATTGTTTTGTCAATAATACCATTAATTGTAGAGAAAGAAAAAAATGCAACAAAATTTATTATTTCCTTTGCTATGTGTAAAACGACTTAAACGATACTTAATAAGGAACAAAGATAGTACCTTTTACCCAACTGTTATCATTTGTAGATGATAGTATCTTATGTGGAAATTATGTGATCAGGTGGCGGATTTGTTTCTGGGTATCTGTCATCCCTGCTGCTATACTCACTATCTTCATGGAGATCTGTGCAGAGAGTCCTTATTGGCTTTTCAAGGTCAAATCTCCATGTAATTTTTAAGTACCAACTATTAATATTTGTTTTTGACTGTTTTGGACTTTGTTGGAGGCTGATTGATTGTGTGGAATGAAGTACAATAAAAATGCTGTCCTGATAATGGCTTACAGATATTTAATTTTAAATATGAACGTTGTGATGATATATAAACTAAAATGATATGCAATAGAACATTCAGTGTGTCAATTTCTCTTGATTAGTCTTATGTTATTTTTTGCTTAACTTGTTTTCGAAGTGCTGTTTCTTCAATATCTCGTAACTAACTTCTCTAACTCTCCCTTATTTTAATAAATCCTTTCTGATATATCAAATTTTCCTATTTCTTACTTGGTACAGAGAGGAAGAACCATTGAGGCTGAAGCAGAATTTGAGAAGCTATTGGGAGGACTACACGTGAAACCTGCAATGGGTGAACTGTCAAAGTCTGACAGAGGTGATGAGTCTGGCGCAGTAAAACTCTCAGAATTGTTGTTTGGCTGCCATGCCAGAGGTACATATCGTAATTTGTTTCTTCCGCTTTTCGAAATATTTTGTGTGGAACTGTATGCAGTTGTATCTTCTAAATGATTCCTTAATCATATATATTTTTTAACAATTTTTATTTTTAAGATTATACACTTCTTATATTACTGGTTACTAAATCTCTACATACATTTTGCAGTGATGTTAATTGGATCGGCGCTTTTTGCTTTGCAGCAACTGTCTGGCATAAATGCTGTTTTCTATTTCTCTTCAGCTGTCTTTGAAAGCTTTGGTGTACCATCTAAGATGGGAAATACGTGTATTGGAATATGCAATTTATTTGGTATCTGTCGCCGGCTTTACTCCTCTGTATTTGATCTGTAAACTGTTGTATATTTGTCTCAATCATGTTGTGTATTGCCAATTCAGGATCGGTTGTTTCAATGATTCTGATGGATAAACTTGGAAGGAAAGTGCTTCTACTGGGTAGCTTTTTAGGCATGGTAAGAAATAAAAAAGAAAATAATAACTTTTCTGAATTAATCACTTTTAAACTTGAATCTTACCCTTATAATATTTCATTTGACATGTTTTACATTCAAACTAGACCTTTCATGAGTTTATTTTCTCTCCAACTATATTACCTAACTTGAAATCTTTTTTCTTATTTAGGCAGTAACAATGGGTCTGCAAGTCATTGCTGCTAGTTCTTATGCATCAGGATTTGGAGCAATGTATCTATCTGTCGGTGGCATGTTGCTGTAAGTGATTAGAAAGTTTCAACTTGCATTTGATTATTTATTTGAAACAAGAGAAACAAGAGACAGTAGGATTTTCATTAATACTTATGAAATATATGCATTTGATTATTTATTTGAAATGGACTGCTGCATAGATTTTTGAACATTTATCTTATGAATTTGATAGACGCTGGTACCTTCTTTTGCACTACCGAATTATTCTAAAGATCTCTACTTACTCGAGAGCTAATATTTAGTAATGCCTTCTAAATGTAAAGTGGACTATGCAATGCAGGTATGTGCTATCATTTGCTCTTGGTGCTGGTCCGGTTCCTTGTCTCCTCATGTCCGAAATATTACCTGGCAAGATCAGAGCCAAGGCGATGGCAATTTGCTTGGCTGTGCATTGGGTAATTGCCTTTTGTATTCATTGATATTTGTTGCTTCATGTTGAGATCTCTGATAGTGGGCCACTCGCATTTATCCACGCTCTAGACGTCTAATTTTAGTCCTAAGAGGTTTGTCGTGGTTCCACATCATTGACTAGAGAGATATGGAGGAAATAGTCCTTATACAGGCTAGGGCAGTCCCTGCGTCTGGATTTAGCTTTCTAGGTTGAATTAGATTCAATCTTAACTAGACGATATCAGAGTCAATCATAGTACTACATCCTAGTACTGTTGTCAAGCCACCACCCACATTTGGCGACTCATCATATGTCCAATCTTGGACGTGAAAAGTGTGTTGAAGTCTTGCATCGACTAGAGATATAGGCAATCCTCGATGCCTAAGCTAGCTTTTGAGGTTGAGTTAGATAAAATCCAAATTCTAGTACTAATGCACTATGAGTCTGCGATACTATTATGGTGAATTGCTAATTTTCTTTATTATGGAGTTGAAATGTTGAGCTTTTCTTGCCTTGATGGAATGGGGATGTAACAGGCCGCAGTAGATGGAACCAAAGTGTGATATCATGTTGAAACTATGGGATTTTAGATAACGTAATGGTAGAAAAATATATGGACAAAAAAATGATTATGATTGATCATTAAATGATTTAAAAAGATTATTTATCAAGAAACCCTTATTTATAGGCACACTAAACTCCTACGATACAAAAGGTGTTTACTTCCTATAGCTTACTAGTCCTCAAATCGGCTAGCATTTACATCGCAAACTGGTAAATTTATTGATGTCTTTTACTGCTAAGGTGGTTGTATAGTATCCTCTACAAGGCCAGGGGGAGCCTAACCATATAAAGCCTTAAAGATGGTTGGTTTAGTAGCGCTACTATAGTTAGTATTTATGGAGTCCGACTTAACCACTTTAGCCACGTTTTGGTTTCGTCGAGGTCAAACATCTGAGTCAAGTCTATCAAATATTTTTATGTTTGTTTTAAAACAGAATTCTGCTGAAATATTTTAGTGATATGTGCATTCAGTTGAACTGGTGTGAATGATATCATGTATCTTTATATATGACAGAAATGATATAATCTTTGATATACTGTATTGTGGCCTTTCAGTTTCAGATTTATCAATGTCATTTTGTTTGGCTCCTTTCTCTAACATTTTCTTCAACAGGTGATAAACTTCTTTGTCGGTCTATTCTTTTTGCGTTTGCTGGAACAAATGGGTGCACAACTCTTGTACAGTATTTTCGGTGCATTTTGTTTGTTGGCTGTAGCTTTCGTGAAGAAATATGTTCTAGAAACAAAAGGGAAGTCACTGCAGGAAATTGAGATTGCACTTCTTGCACTAGAAGCAACCTAAATGAACAAAAGGGGTATAGGCATATTTCAATTTGTTGGATAAGTTGTGGAAACATTTTTGGTGAATGAAAAAGATAAAGAAGAAACATTTTTGGTGAATACTTATTTAACATGAAAGTCGGCCATGCATTAGCTTGAATGTTAAGCTTTTGTATGTTGACTTGTAAAACAAGCAAGAGACTGTATAGCACGAGTAATTTTTCTTCTCTGTCGCTGTGTTTTGTATGTATGATGAGACATACATAATTGGTCGCATGATCTTTCGGGGTCTTCATATCCTATTGGTAAATGGTTGCCCTTCAATCCTGTCTCCTTAGGGTACCCTTTCCCAATTCTTTGCGCATACTCACATCTTTGACACCTCGCCGCCTAGGCAAACTCTCCCACGCACAATTTGATTGCTGAAAACTCTATCAGCCTTAACTATGTCCATTGTTACTCAATCTAGTGCATACACCTAACATTTCACTGCCGCAGTAGACACTTAGGCTATTAGGTATTCTAGTATAAGGATGCGTAGGAGAAAAACATACATGTATGAATTTGACTTATATTTTACCACTTATGGGATTGAGGATCGATGGTTTTATTATAAGATTGAGAGCCCTGAAATTCAATTCAAGTAAGTTGGTCAAACATGAGAAAGTGCGTTTTGACAATCATATTTGTATACTATTTATATTTAACACTTTTAATTTAAGATTAAAAAAAAAACTTTTACAAAAATTTCAAAGGATCGTGTATAACAATAGTGTGTCTCTTGTTTTTAAAATGATTTGTTTTATAATTTAAAACATATTAGAATATGCGCCTTGTTGCCTTTATAAATAATCACTTTTTAAGTATAAAACACATTTTATATTATTATATATACTAAAAAACAATTAAAAACAACAATGTCTCAAAAAAATTTAAATAAATTGATTTTAATATCAATTGAAAATAAATAAATAAAATTGATTACAATAATTTAATAAATAATTTTGCATCTTAAAAGTTCAATACCGTAGAATTCGTTTTGGAACATAATATATGTATGTTGAGGTGACCCTGATTTCCATTTGTATATAAAACTACAAGGAATATCCATTTTCTTATGTTAATGATGGACAACCTGCTCTGGTCATGCGAATCAATATAGTTATAGTTATAGTAGTTGCTATGGTGTTAATATGAGGATTTTGATACACTTCTTCCACCCAATGGCATTTAATATGATGCTTTTGAGAATGCCATGTTTGCTAATAACCTAACCAAGTGGATGGTATATTTATTGGATGAAACCTACTTTTAGCGCATACTAACAAATCATAAAAATCTACATGGTTGAAGCAATCACAAAATCAGTAAAAGCTTCTCAAGTACCCTCTATTGGACTTTGACTGATCTAGTGTAAGGGTATGGAAGAAACACCTGCTGAAAATTACTGCAAAATTAATTAGATGCTCCAAAGAAACAAAAGGTTATAAGAAGAACACAACACAAAAAAAAAAACAAGACTTGAAGAAAACATAGTTAAGATAATAATTTATCAAACTATAAAAAGTGATTGTTACTAAAACTTACTTCGCCTTCGTGTGCAAGACATTTAAGTAAGCAAAAGTTGTTGGTGGTTTTCTTCCAGATTATCAAGAACTGCAAGCCAAATCCTAGATGCCAATTCCATAACGATGGCTCATCGAGTGTTACCGTTACATTGCTGTGATGTGAAGCAGTACAAGTCTTAAACTAGTCATCAATTCTTATCAGTAAAGTTATTGGCATCCAAACAACTCAGGTAATATAGATAATCCTTCTGCGGCCTGCCAATTCCCTACAATTGAAAAGAGCATTATGTGTGTAATTTTACAGTAAAGACACTTAACTGTTTCAACAAAGTGCATCGTATATATACCTTCTTGAATCCCTCACGGGATTTCGAGCTTTGAAAGTACGGAGATATTGTAAGATCTCTAGAAATAAGTACACTACATAATGAATATAGGTTGTTAATCTAAGACAGCGGCGCGTAGCACCGGACCTCCAAAATGCTATAGCGGTATAGCAGATAGCGCGACGACCGCTATTGTGAAAACTAAAAAACAATGTACATGAGAAATATAAATTCCAACAACATACATATAAATACTTAAAAATAGAAATTGCAATAGCATATATAGTAAAATTCTAACTGTTTACATAAATTCCAACAACATACATATCTCATCAAAATCAAATCATAAAGGTTATTCCTCCCATTGAAGAGTGCTCACAAAAATCACAAGCAATTGTTTTCTTGCTCTGGGCTTTATAAGAGTTCCTCTACCAACCAATATCAAAGTTGTCACTAATAGGTTTAAAATAACTTTTGTTGCTGGAAGTTGGTTTTACACTTGCTGAGGCAGAGGATGATGATACCATGGTTGTTATCAAATAAGAAACAAAGCAACGGAAACAGAACAGAGGAGAAGGCAGGGGAGTACGGCTGCGAACGGCGAAGAAACAGATGAAACGGGAACAATAGAGGTCAAGGCTCAAGCATAACTGCATAAGTTTCCAACCATCTAAGGTTAGGCTAGGTGTTAGCAAGAAACAATATGGGAAACTACTAGAAACAAATGAATTAGGTTTTGAGTATATTTTAATACACCCTTCAAGACAATAACTGAAATTCTTAGTTAGCATAACATGTAAAAGTCATTGGCTCCGTAGCACCGACAACTTTGAAAAACGTATGTTTGTGTCAGTGTCGGTGTCCAAAACCGACGCCGACACTAGTGATTAAGTTTAATTTATTCATTTTTTCAAATTATTATTGGTGCCGACGTGTCAGTGTCAATGTGTTTCCGGATTCTATGCTTCATAGATAATGTGTCTTGACCTGTGTTAAGTACATGTGATGTTCAAGTCCACTATAAGTCTATAGATATTGTTATTTTTCTCAAGGATGAAGTAACAATAAAATGATGATAACAATAACTAAAAACAAAGAAAAAAACATTAGCACAAATTCATTGCAGACATAATAATAGTTACGAACAAGCATAGCACCCAAAAACACAAACCCTAGTGGTAGCAATTGAAAAACTGTTCCAATTAATACATAGTGGTGATGAATTCAAAAACAGTCTCAATTAATCAACCAACCACAAACACAAACCTAACCCTAGACATGGTTTCAATTAATCAACCTAACAGTAACATTATTACTCTGTAATATCAGGATTATTATGCCAGAAATTATAAAAAAAATGAGTGTATGAATAGAATGAGAAGGGAAATTAACCTTTTTCGCAGCGACCGAACAAGCTTCATCCTTTTTCGCATTCTTGCCGCCACACCTTTGTTGTTTCGTCATTCTTTTGGATTAAACTGGAATAATGTGAAAATTAAACATAAGTCAGGATGGCCGAGTGGTCTAAGGCGCCAGACTCAAGTTCACGTTCTCGTGAGAGAGCGTGGGTTCAAATCCCACTTCTGACAAATTTTTTTACACATCTTAATATTTTATTTTCAACTACAATTTTTGTAACATAGATTCATTTTTTTGACAGTTTTTTTCTTCATCTTTTATACTAAACCAATTAAATTTTAACTATCTAATTACTATATAATTGTTAAATAAATATTCACTTCATATAAAATTGCAAATAATTTAAAAATAAATATATTGTATTGAAAAAATAACACTAACATTTCTTATAATTTGATAAATTTCTAAAAAATATATTTTATTTAATTTATTAACACATGTCTTGAGTACACATGTTAATATTTTATTTTATTTTCAACTAATGTGTTCAATAAATAATTCACTAAATTCATTTACAAATAAACTAACTAACTGATTTGATCTATTTCATTTTAAAATATAGATTAATCAAATTCATTCAACTTATCTTAAAAATCGGATGAATTATTTTGAATATTTACTCTCAATCAATTGTATCGTTTATATAATAAAACAATAAAATTTTATCTACATAATTACTTTTTAAATTAATTTATTTTCAAATTTTCAATAGATAGATATTTAATAAATATTCAAATTATTCATAAAATTTTATTTAAAAAAATCATGCTATTAACCATTAGTAGTTGGTTCACTCAATTTCGACCCACTCTCTTCAACCCCATTTGGCTCTAGCCCCACCCTAATCGAAATGTAAAATCATTTTCTAATAGGGTCGTCGCAAACAATATGGAGGTTCTGTTCTAATCTTAAAATTAAAGCCATTGATGAAAAGAAATACAAAAAAAAAAAAAACTCATAAAAATCCATTAAGAATGTTTTGTTGTTAAATGAACAAAGAGGTAAGCTGAGGAACAAGCTTCTGAATCGCCCAATGTGAAAACTCAACAGTTGGAAAAAGGTATTTCACAAGTTGTTAGCATGTTGTTGGAAAAAGGTATTTCAAAACTGGGGTGTTACATCTTTTTTATTAATCGCCTTTATTTTTCTCCATAGCTATTTTTCCCTAATTGTGTTTGCCCTCAATTGGGAATATTTGTTAACATCATCCTTTCTTGAGGTAGAATGCATACCTACCGATGTCTTACCAAGGGAATAATAAAGTTCTCTTATGGGAATTCGATGCTTGAGCGCCTCTAAGGGATACAAGGATTCCTTTTAGGGATCCGACATTTTATTGCCTCCAAGGGAGGCAAGGATTCCTTTTAAGGATCTAGCATTTTGATCGTTTGTAAGGGTGTAAAATATTCCTCTTAAGGACCCAACATTTTGATCACCTCTAAAGCCGATAAGGATTCCTCCTAGGGATCTAGCATTTTGATTGCCTCCAAGGGTGACAATGATTCCTCTTAGGAATTCAGTATTTTGATCACCTCTAAGGGAGAGAAACATTCCTCCTAGAGATCCAACATTTTGATCGCCTCTAGAGGCGGTAAGGATTCCTCATAGGGATCCAATATTTTGATCGCCTCTAAGGACGTAAAGGATTCCTCATAGAAATTCATAATTTTGATATCCCTTAAGGGTAATGAATATTCTTACTATGGATC